GAAGTTCCTGGCTCCTGGCTTCGGATAGGCATAGCATCAGTTGTTGCGCTCACTTGGGGAGTGAATCATCGGATGGAAGATCTTCCTCTCTGTCTCTCCTCCTCTCTGTAGATCTGACTTTCCAATTAACAAATAAATGTTAAAAAAAAAAGGAAATGAAATCAGCATAGGATTATAGCAGTTCAGATAGTTAAGATGTGGAATCAATCTACATGCACATGACTGATTAATTAAAATTGGGTCTATAAACACTATGTACTACTCAGCCGTAAAGAACGAAATTCTGTCTTCTGCAACAAAATGGATTCAGTTGAAAACCATGATGCCTAGGGAAATGAGCAAGTTCCCAGGAGACGGGTGTCAAAGTCTGTTATGTTTTTTTCTGATTTGTGATAATTAGTATAGAGGGTAGGAAGAAGTTTGGGTAAAATTGATTTCTTGAGATTTGATTGTTTACAATGCTTGCACATGCTCATGTGGAATTGGGGTTTTTCTACTTGTTGGATTTTTTATTAAATGGGAGATTAAGCTTATAATTACAAATTGAAGGCATATAATCGCCAAAAAAAAAAAAAAGAATAAAAGAAAGTAGAAGGAGGGTGGGAGATATCTATTCCCTTAAAAGTGAATATAAAAAATGTGAAATCTTTTCCCCTTGTGTAAGTGAATACATTAATTAATTAATTTACTCATTTATTTTTTAAAAGATTTATTTATCTTTATTGGAAAGGCGGATATCCATTGAGGAGGAGAGACAGAGAGGAATATCTTCCATCCGATGGTTCACTCTCCAAGTGAGTGCAACGGCTGGAGCTGAGCTGGTCTGAAGCCAGGAGCCAGGAATCTCTTCCCGGTCTCTCACACAGGTGCAGGGTCCCCAAGGCCATGGGCCATTCTCGACTGCTTTCCCAGGCCACAAGCAGGGAGCTGGATGGGAAGCAGGGCCGCTGGGATTAGAACCAGGTCCCATGCGGGATCCTGGGGCGCGTGCAAGGCGAGGACCTTAACCACGACGCTACCATGCTGGACCCTGAAGATATATCCTTATTTTATTATTCCAAACAATTTGAAGTACTAACTACAGTCATGCAAATATAATATGACAATCTTTTTTTTTCCACAGGCCTCTTGGTATATTTTTTTCTGCGTTTCTTAAGCTTCGTTGATTTTTACAGAGTTGGAAATGATTTCTTTGAGCAGTAATTTTCCTTTTCTTGAGATTATTTTGAAGTGACAAGAAGAGTTATATAATAGGTACGCATAGCCCTACCTTTTGGAAATAACAAATAGGAACGTTTAAATGTTAAATGCTTTTAATTATTATGTATGTGCTTCTATGCAAGTACATTGGTATTGTGTGGGTGTATGGCGTGTGAATGGTGTCTGTTCTTAATCAAGTATTACAACTATAAAGACAAGGTTGAAATCAAGTTTCTAACCAGAATTCTGCAGCTGCATTTCCATCGGCTTTACTACTTACATTGGTATTAATTATTATGAATTCGATATCGTAGACCTCAAATGAACCCCAAAAAGTCTCAAGTTGTCTAAGAAAAGCATATCAGAGATATTTCATAGGATACGGTTGATTTCTTGCAGGAATTTATGCTTATCTAGGGCACATCTCTGATGTTTAAATTTTATCAAAAGTTTCTTGGTAGATGGGCCCGGCGCGGTGGTGCAGTGGTTAAGGTCCTCGCCTTGCACGCCCAGGATCCCATATGGACGCCGGTTCTAATCCCGGCAGCCCCGCTTCCCATCCAGCTCCCTGCCTGTGGCCTGGGAAAGCAGTCGAGGACGGCCCAAAGCTTTGGGACCCTGCACCTGCGTGGGAGACCCGGAAGAGGCTCCTGGCTCCTGGCTTCGGATCGGCCGTTGTGCTCACTTGGGGAGTGAATCATCGGATGGAAGATCTTCCTCTCTGTCTCTCCTCTCTGTATATCTGCCTTTCCAATAAAAAAAAATAAAAATAAATCTTTAAAAAAAAAAGTTTCTTGGTAGAACCAGAAAACTCAGTCTTGCCTCTCACTGCCCCTGCTGATTTGTCTACAAAGACACAATTGCCTAAAAAAAAAAACCAAAACACCATTTTTTTTTTATATGTCAACAGAACTGATTTGTTTGGAGATGGGCAAGAGAGTAGAACAATTTATTTGACGAGAAGCTCTGAGAATTCAACCCTTGGGGATGATAGAAACTTTAAACATGCCCCCTGTTGTCCCTCACCCAATTCCCAGATCCCAGCCTGGGAGAAAACCCAGGAGGACCTGATTGGAATACTTTGGGAGACAGGAAAACGTTGATGATGAGCGTCAGAGTCCTTGCGTTGCAGTGAGGGCTGACGGGGTAAGAAGAACAAGGACAGTGGTGAAGTGGTCAGCTTCCTGGCTAGCACAATGGGATCAGCAGAGGTCTGTGTTGAACGGATTTGAGTTCCCCTGGGCAGGATTCTTTGCCCGGCTTACGTTAGGTTTTATTATGTTCCTTTCTGGAATTTTAGAGCATCTTTGGTACAGAGTTGTTGTCTGGAGTGTCTGCGTAGCTTCTCTACTTCCTCCTAAAAACTGTAGTTTCTTATTCATTGAACCACTCACATAGGCTGTGTATCAGAATTTTCTATTTAGGTTCTGAATGCGACTGGTGTTCTTTTATGATTTACCCATTTTTGCTGGTGAATCTTACGTGCTGATATGAGTGTTGACTGTGGGATCAGTTTTTTCACATCAGTGTCAGCAATACAGAATACTACAATCGTTTCAGACAATTGGCACTTAGGCCAATTTCTCTTTTTTTTCCCAGCTTGTAGAACTCTTTAAATGTTTAGGAAAACATGAAATTGCTAAATTTAAGGTAGAACGCCTGAACCATTCCTAAATATCATGCTAATATTGTAAGTAGTCCATCGTAGCATGTCCCGGTTGCAATTGTAACAAACAACCGTTGTGTTAACAAGTAGCTTTACCGTAGGTACCAGACTACATTACTGATTGCCACACGTCCTTAAATGCATTCTCCTCTGACTGTGGTTATGAGTTATCTTCATGGTCCTATTATGATTGCTATTGTCCTATCTTTATTGTCACCGTATTTTTTTTTGTCTCAATATTTATTGCAATGTCATTTGGACCATGTATATTCATGGATAGACAGGGAATGCACATCTCCCGGTGGGAGAGGGTTGTCAAGCAAGAATGTTCCACTGTGGCCATTACATCCTCCACCCCTCCTGGCCCTCATTCTAATCACATTGCCCACTCAAGTCCCTTGCACGTCAGATTCAACCATAACACTTGTGTTCTCAAGCTTGCCGTCAGATTCCACCAGGATGCTTTTTTATTTTTTCAAGATTTATTTATTTATTGGAAAGTCAGATCTACAGAGAGGAGGAGAGACAGAGAGGAAGATCTTCCGTCCGATGATTCACTCCCCAAGTGAGTGCAACGGGCCGATGCTATGCCGATCCGAAGCCAGGAGCCAGGAACTTCTTCCAGGTCTCCCACACGGGTGCAGGGTCCCAAGGCTTTGGGCCGTCCTCCACTGCTTTCCCAGGCCACAGGCAGGGAGCTGGATGGGAAGTGGAGCTGCTGGGATTAGAACCAGCGCCCATATGGGATCCTGGGGCGTTCAAGGGAAGGACTTTAGCCACTAGGTCACGCCGCCGGGCCCCATAATGCTTTGTGTTGTCTCAATCTTGAACATTCGTTCTTTCTTCCCTTCTCCTAATTAATACTCATCTTTCCCTCTCCTGGCTTAAATACTCACATATTAGGGAACTCCGTGCTGCCTACCACCCAAAATTGTTCCTCAATGCTTTTGTTTGATTTTGTTTTGTTTTGCTGTCTGTAATTGACACTGTTTAGGTGTGAGCACTACCCAATTATTTTCTACCATAGGGCATGTAGAAATGTATTTTCGAATCTTAAGCTCCTCAATTTTTTTTTTCTTAGATGATGTGATGTTTCTCTTTTGGATTTTCCAAACAAATTCATCCATTAAATATTTTGACTCTTCAACTAGAGATCATACATAGGTGGGCCCACAGTCTCACATGTTGCTGTTATTTGGTGTTCATTTTTGTGAAGTTAGGCTCGTTTCTCATTGGGGTTGTCCAGGTGCTTTTTCCCTCTTCTTCCAAGAATTCACCTGCCGGCCGGTCCTTCTCTGAAACAAGTTGCTGTAGGGATTTTCATTAAATGGAGGTGTTACAGGGCAGTCATAGAAGGTAGCAGACCTGTTGCAATGACCATGATTAGAACTTCAAATTCTTGTGGGCTGCTTCAGTTTCAGAGGACATTGATAAGTTATATCCGTGCAATGCAGAGGAATTGAGATGTTAAAACCAGGAGTTGACGTGCAAGAAATAGGAACTGCAATAGAAATAAATACGTGCAGCATTTAATTTTAGTCTGTACTATGCCTTGAGACGGTGATGTATTGGAAGTAAGTATCATAAAAGACACAGTTCAAAATAGCAATGATAACAATGACAATATTTATGGAGGTCCCATGACACAACAAGGACACACAAGGAAGCTGGTAGTGTAAAAACATTTTAAGAAACACAAAGCAAGATGATGAGAAATCATTGCTATTACTACAAAGTATCAAGCTACAGACTGCAGTTTGAGAGCCATATTTTAAAATTTTACCTTTTTACAGGTTGAATACAGTATCGCCATAGGTTAATGATTGTTCTACCGCTATGAGAGTGAAGTAAGTATGGAGATGGCTTTTTAAGAGTCCTCTCTAAGAAAAAAAAAATCATTTCAATTTATAGATGCGAATTGGCGAGTTGGAATTAATAAGTATATCGGGAAAGGAGAGACAGAGTGCAGGTAAATAGCGAAAGAAGCATGTTGCGTGTTTGCAGAGAAAATGGGCCAAAATCAGTTGACTGGCTGGCAGAACTCAATAGAGGGTGAGGGCTGTCCATCCACAGGTGATGTGGGGTTTGACTGAATACCTCCCGTGCCTCCTTCCCCAGAAGACACAGCGGCTACATGGAAACTGAAAACCACACTGGAGCATCAGAGTTCCTGCTCCTGGGCCTCTCAGATAATCCTCAACTGCAGCCACTGATCTTGGGGCTGTTCCTCTCCATGTACCTGGTCACGGTGCTCGGGAACCTGCTCATCATCCTGGCTGTCACCTCTGACTCCCACCTGCACACACCCATGTACTTCTTCCTCTGCAACCTGTCCTTGGTGGACATCTGCTTCGTCTCCACCATGGTCCCCAAGATGCTGGTCAACATCCAGGCACACTGCAAAGACATCACCTACAGAGAATGCCTGGCTCAGGTGTATTTCTTCATGACGTTTGCTGGAATGGATAACATCCTTCTGTCCATCATGGCCTATGACAGGTTCGTGGCCATCTGCCAACCCCTGCACTACACGGTCATCATGAACCCTCGCCTCTGTGGCCTCCTTGTGCTCACCTCCTTGTGTATAGTTTCCTGTGTCTCCTTGATTCACCTTCTGCTGATACTGCGACTCTCCTTCTCTCCCGGCACGGAGATTTCACACTTCTTCTGCGAGCTGACGGAGCTGCTCAAGGTGGCCAGCTCTGACACCTTCGTCAATAGCATCGCCTTGTATATGGCGACTGCGGTGCTGGGCTTGCTTCCTGCCTCTGGGATTCTCTTCTCCTACTCTAAGATTGTCTCTTCCCTCATGAGGATGTCCTCTGCTGCGAGCAAGTACAAAGCGTTCTCCACCTGTGGGTCTCACCTGTGTGTGGTGTCCCTGTTCTACGGAACAACACTTGGGGTGTACCTCAGCTCTGCTGTGACCCAGACTTCCCTGAGCAGCTCCACTGCCTCGGTGATGTACACAGTGGTCACCCCCATGCTGAACCCCTTCATCTACAGCTTGAGGAACAAGGATGTGAAGGGGGCCCTGGGCCAGCTTCTCAGCAGAGCTGTACCTTGAGTGTGATGCATCATTGAGCTTGGGACTCGGGACATGGCAATCACTGAGGTCGAAGTCTGAATTTTAATATCCCAGCTATTTTTTTTTCTCCCCTCAGGTGTAGACTTAATGGTTTCTACACCCAGAGCAGTGCCATGTTTGTTTGCTTGTTTCTTAACAGCTTCCTCGATGTACCCGTGTTGTCTTCGTTAAGTATTGCTCTGTGGATGCTGCGTTTGGTTGGCTGTCTCTTAGGAATGCCTTATCATTTCTGTCATCTATTTTACTGGTCTCATCAATGTACCCTAGCTTCCCCCCAAAAACCATCCTCCGATTGTGGCTGGTGGTGTGGTACCGTGGAGTTTCTCGTCACCCGTGTGCTGGTTCGGATTTCACCTGCTCTGCATCCCTTCCAGTTTTCTAACTATGCATTTGGAAAAGCAACAGAAGATGAGCTGGTATGCAGATTCCTGCCACCCAGGTGGGAGGCTCAGCTCAGTCTCCAGGCTCCTGGCGTCAGCCTGTTCCAATCTAGGCTTTTGGAAGAGAACCGGTGGGTACAAGATATCTTATTCCTCTTTCCCCTTAACTTTGCAATTTAAATAAATATTTTTTTAAAAAAACTATTCCTTCATTTGGGAGTTTTTATTTTATGTTATTTTTGATGCTGTTTACATAGCTGACAAGAATGCAGATTCATGGTGACCGCTGTATAAGTTGGGGATGATTGAGGTATGGGGGGGGAGGTAGGCAGGACAAATATTTCCATTTGTTTCCTTTCTTTTTCTTCCTTATGGGGAGGAGGTGAGATTAGGCAAGTGGAGGCTGCAGTTCCCAGCTTCCACATTACATCAATACCCGGGGATGGGAGATGTCCACTTTAGGTCATCTCAGAAATTCTGATGTGGAGAATGTTGCAAGGGTATTGTTAGAGTGGTTTTGATAATTCTGACATGCTGTTGGTTGAGAAAAAATCCCTCCAGAGCCCATTGGACAGGGTCCACTCTAGTACATCCACTCAGCCAGATACTTGCTGCCAAATCTTGGCCAGGAGAGTTGTCCAACCTGTTCTGCTCTCCATCTTTTTGACATGGCATTCGACATCCTCTGTAGGCTCAAAGGAGCTGGCTGTTGTGTCCCCCTTATGCACCTGGGCATGCTGTCCACTGCATAGCCATCAGCGATTGGGAAGGCCCTGATGCACGCCTTCCAAGGCTGGACCACAAATCCAATAATTCTCCCTGTGGTCAGAGCTTTGAGTCCGGTGGTCCAGTTTGGGATTCCCTCAAGAAACTTGACCTGGGTGATCTCGGGTCTGTCTTTTGCATGTGCCAACCGGTACAGGATCCAATTTAGTCCGTATCAGCCTAGGTACACACTGGTGATTTTAGTTGCCTAGTCAATTCTGTCCCCAGCTGTTCACTGCCCTGCAGCTATGGACTTCTTGCACAGAGCCGATAATAACACGCAGGGACTACTTTGATGGTCAGGTAGCTGAAGTTTATTAATATCAGCAGACTCTTAAGGACTGAGGGTTACGGAGGCATCAGGGAGGGGGTGCTGAGGCATTAACTTTCCAACAGCAAGAGACAATCCCCTAACATACAAGTTGTTCCTCTCGCAAGTTCCTTCCCTGAATCTGTTAACCTGTGGATTAAGGAATTTCCTGTCGATTCATTCCCATATGAACTGCTCTTGGGCCCTCCGGGAGGAATTTCAACTAGTCCTGATTCTACATGGCAGAAGATTCACAATGTCCTTCCAACATCCATCCTCGCATTGTGTGCAAACCGACGGGGGCTGTGGTGCAGTCTAGCCCGCTGCACCATAGACCTGGCCCTTGTGCTCACCAATGGGAACTATAACCAAGTTGGAGTGATCCCCAGTAACCAGGCCTGTCCCCAGCCCCAGTTCCTGTGAACCATAGTATGTTAAGCAGTCTAGTCCAGTCTGTGCCACATTCCAACCAGGGTTTTGTATCCGTCTATGGGTGTTGTAATTTAGCTCAGCCTACCCACCCCACATATTCCATGCGTATGCTGACAGGTGCTCCTACCTTGTACAGCCTAGCCTGCCCCCCAGCCCTGGCTCTTGTATGCATCAGTAGCAGTTGCAACCCAGCAGAGGAGTGCCCACTATTCCCTACCAAGGCGGTCTGTGTCCTGGATCTTGCACTTTCCAGAGAGTACTGCATACCAGTCTGACATGACTTACACCCTGTCCTGGTACTTGCTGCCAGATGCTGTGTACCAAAGCCATGTCCGTTTGCGGTTATCCTGGCCCTGACATGGTGGATGCAGTGGTCTGGCCTAGAGTGGCCCTCTGCTAAACGGAGCTCGCATGCAAGCCAACGCTTGTTGCAGCTGTGTTAAGGGAGTGTTGCAGCTTGGTTCGCTGCTTGTTCAGGCTCTCACTCTCACCAGTGGGAACAGTAGCTCAGCAGGGGCGTTCCCACAGCACCCCCTCAACTGGGTTCTCTCCCCATCTGGTGTCCTGCATGCACTGTTGAGTGTGCTTCAGCCCGGACTGGCATGACTTGTCAAGATGGCATTTGCCAGTGAGTGCTACAGCCTGGCTCTGCCCACCCTGCCTCCAGACCCAGCTCATGCTGAAGGGTGCTGCAGCCTAACCCAGCCTGCCAGCCCCCAGTCTTAGCCCTAATGTGAACTGACAGGTGTTGTAACCCATCCTGGCCCGGCCTGGCCTGGCCTGTATCCCATCTTGACTCTCAAACCTGCCAGTGAGTGTTGCAAACCAGCCTAGCCTGGCCCACTCCCCAGACCTGACCCGTGTATACCAACAGGTTCTGGTAGCTTGGCCTTGCCTGGACTGACCCCAGGCTAGGTTCTTGCACTCACTAGCTCTGGCTACATTTTAGGGAGGTCTCTAAACTCCTCTTATCAGACCAGCTCTAATCACCGATCTTATTCACACTGGTGGGTCTTTGGCTCATTGTGACTTTGCCCACTCCCCACTCCTAGCATCCCCAGTGGGTACTATGGCCTTGTCAGAGCAACCCACAAGTGTGTGTGTGTGCGTGTGTATGTGTGTGTGTTTAGTTTCCCTCATGGCTAGCTGTATCTTTTTACAAAAATGACTATGAAGAACAGATTTTTGCGCATTCTGAAGGTACAGTTCCAAGAAGATGGCCACGCTTCCACGTGCGTTGCGGGCCACTCGCGTTTCTTCTTTTGAGTCTCGGAGTACCTCGTCACTTCCTGACTGAATTCTCAGAGGCAGCCAACTCTACCACAAAGTAAGGCGACTCTGTTTCACAATCACGTGCCTTAGGCAGAAGTGGAAGAGAGGCACCTTTGCATTACAAGCACACACACAAGATCAAGACACGGAAAAGCCAGTTGCCTGGTTGGATCGGCTTATACTGTAATTGAAATAGCCCAGTGTACTGCATAAAATTTGGGCTGGTGCCGTGGTGTTAATAGATGCCATTTTCCATCCCGGGCACTTTGCTTCTGATCTAGCTCCCTGCTAATGTGTCTTGCAAGACAACAGGTGGTAATTTACATGTCTGGGTCCTGACGACCTTAGTGAGAAAGTTCTAGACTCCTGCCTTCAGGTTGACTCAAGCCCTCGCTGTTGCAGAGTTGTTGGATGTGAACCAATTGCATTTGCAGATGAAGAAATAAACTGTTAAAACTGGGTAAGGATTACATATTCTTAAAAATTTATTTAAACTACACTCTCCCTTTCCCTCCCCTCCACAATTCACCCCCACCCCAGGTTTCCAGGATGTTGTTACAATAGCACAGTTGTTCCTAAACAGCCCTAAGCACCCCATTCTGTTGCTTAAGTGACTCCTGCCATTGTGGGTGTGGACAACGGCAGGCAGAGTCCAGCATCCTGTTATCAGGATAGATTGAACAGTTTCATTGGGAGTCCATTTTTGATTTGGAAGCGGAGCTGCATACTGCCTTGTATCTTCACATCTGGATATGGCAGCGTCTATTACACAGCTACTACGACCTCCCTTTCCATGAATAGCCAGAAATGAACAAAATCAATAACAGAGAAAAACATAGACAAACATAGAAAAACGGCATGCTCGTGAGTGACTAATGTATCACTGAAGAAATGAAAAATAAGAAAACCTTCTTTGTTTGTTTTTTTTTTTAAAGATTTATTTATTTATTGGAAAGTCAGATCTACAGAGAGGAGGAGAGACAGAGAGGAAGATCTTCCATCCATTGATTCACTCCCCAGGTAGCCGCAACAGCCAGAGCTGCACCAATCTGAAGCCAGGAACCAGCAGCCTCTTCCGGGTCTCCCACGCGGGTGCAGGGTCCCAAAGCATTGGGGCCGTCCTCCACTGCTTTCCCAGACCACAGGCAGGGAGCTGGATGGGAAGTGGAGCTGCTAGGGTTAGAACTGGTGCCCATCTGGGGTCCCAGCACGTTCAAGGGGAGGACTTTAGCCACTAGGCTATCGCGCAGGGCCCCCCAATTTTTTTTTTTATGGCACCTGGAACATTCTACATTGAAAAACATGTAGCAAGGGTTTGTTACCTTAACATCATTCCTAACATCATATTCCTAAGGATGGCCTCCTCATGGGCATGAATTGTTAACCTCCTTTGCTTTGAATTTCTATGTGTTTGCCGACAGTGGGTCTGTCCTCTATGCAGATATGTCTTTTCAAGTATTTCCTCATGTGGGGGGCTGTGTGTGCGTTTAAGTACAGTTTTTATTTTTGTATTTGACCTGAGATGTTCATTATATATTTTGGATTCTTGATCAGATATGTACACACACACACACACACACACACACACACACATATTTGTCCCACCCTGTATGATATCTATTTCTTGCAAATACAGAGAGGAGGAGAAACAGAGAGGAAGATCCTCCATCCGATGATTCACTCCCCAAGTGACCACAACAGCCAGAGCTGTGCCGATCTGAAGCCAGGAGCCAGGAGCTCGTCCGGTTCTCCCACGCAGGTGCAGGGTCCCAAGGCTTTGGGCTGTCCTCCACTGCTTTCCCAGGCCACAGGCAGGGGGG